AAAAAAAAGACCATGTATAGTAAGGCGTTTTTAGCTGAAAAAAACGACCACGCATAGTAAGGCGTTTTTAGCCGACAAAAACGACCATGTATAGTCAGTCGTTTTTCGCCCCAAAAAACAATCATGTATAGTAAGGCGTTTTTAGTCCGAAAAAAACAACAAAAGTATACGAAGGCATTTTTAGCTCAAAAAAACGACCATGTATATAGGAAGCCGTTTTTAGCTAAAAAAAACGACCATGTATAGGAAGGCGTTTTTAGCTGAAAAAAAACACCATGTATAGTAAGGCGGTTTCAGCCAAAAAAAACGACCATGAGTAAGGCGTTTTTAGCCGAAAAAAAAAAGACCATGCAAAGTAAGGCGTTTTTAGCCCAAAAAAACAACCATGGATAGTAGGGCGTTTTTAGCCGAAAAAAACGACCATGTATAGTAAGGCGTTTTTAGCCCCAAAAAAACAACAATGTATACTAAGGCGTTTTGAGTTGAAAAAAATGACCATGTACAGTGTGGCGTTTTTAGCTGAAAAAAATTGACCATGTATAGTAAGGCGTTTTTAGCCCGAAAAAAACGACCATGTAAAGTAAGGCATTTTTAGCCCGAAAAAAACAACAAAGTATACAAAGGCATTTTTAGCTCAAAAAGACGACCATGTATAATAAGGCGTTTTTAGTTAAAAAAAAACGACCATGTATACTAAGGCGTTTTTAGCTGAAAAAAATGACCATGTTTACTAAGGCGTTTTTAGCCCGAAAAAACGACCATGGATAGTAAGGCGTTTTTAACCCGAAAAAAACGACCATGTATAGTCAGGCATTTTTAGCCAACAAAAAATGGCCATATTTAGTAAGGCGTTTTTAGCCCGAAAAAAACGACCATCTATACGAAGGCGGTTTTAGCCGAAAGAAACGACCATGTATCATAAGGCGTTTTTCGCTGAAAAAAATGACCATGTATAGTAAGGCGTTTTTAGCACGAAACAAACGACCATGTATACGAAGGCGTTTTTAGCCGAAAGAAACGACCATGTATCATAAGGCGTTTTTCGCCCCAAAAAACGAACATGGATAGTAAGGCGTTTTTAGCTGAAAAAAACGACCATGTATACTAAGGCGTTTTTAGCTGAAAAAAACGACCATGTATACTAAGGCGTTTTTAGCTGAAAAAAACGACCATGTATACTAAGGCGTTTTTAGCTGAAAAAAACGACCATGTATACTAAGGCGTTTTTAGCTGAAAAAAACGACCATGTATACTAAGGCGTTTTTAGCTGAAAAAAACGACCATGTATACTAAGGCGTTTTTAGCTGAAAAAAACGACCATGTATACTAAGGCGTTTTTAGCTGAAAAAAACGACCATGTATACTAAGGCGTTTTTAGCTGAAAAAAACGACCATGTATACTAAGGCGTTTTTAGCTGAAAAAAACGACCATGTATACTAAGGCGTTTTTAGCTGAAAAAAACGACCATGTATACTAAGGCGTTTTTAGCTGAAAAAAACGACCATGTATACTAAGGCGTTTTTAGCTGAAAAAAACGACCATGTATACTAAGGCGTTTTTAGCTGAAAAAAACGACCATGTATACTAAGGCGTTTTTAGCTGAAAAAAACGACCATGTATACTAAGGCGTTTTTAGCTGAAAAAAACGACCATGTATACTAAGGCGTTTTTAGCTGAAAAAAACGACCATGTATACTAAGGCGTTTTTAGCTGAAAAAAACGACCATGTATACTAAGGCGTTTTTAGCTGAAAAAAACGACCATGTATACTAAGGCGTTTTTAGCTGAAAAAAACGACCATGTATACTAAGGCGTTTTTAGCTGAAAAAAACGACCATGTATACTAAGGCGTTTTTAGCTGAAAAAAACGACCATGTATACTAAGGCGTTTTTAGCTGAAAAAAACGACCATGTATACTAAGGCGTTTTTAGCTGAAAAAAACGACCATGTATACTAAGGCGTTTTTAGCTGAAAAAAACGACCATGTATACTAAGGCGTTTTTAGCTGAAAAAAACGACCATGTATACTAAGGCGTTTTTAGCTGAAAAAAACGACCATGTATACTAAGGCGTTTTTAGCTGAAAAAAACGACCATGTATACTAAGGCGTTTTTAGCTGAAAAAAACGACCATGTATACTAAGGCGTTTTTAGCTGAAAAAAACGACCATGTATACTAAGGCGTTTTTAGCTGAAAAAAACGACCATGTATAGTAAGGCGTTTTTAGCCCGAAAAAACAACCATGTATACTAAGGCATTTTTAGCCGAACAAAACGACCATGTATAGTTAGGCTTTTTTTGCCCAAAAAAACGACCATGTATAGTAAGGCGTTTTTAGTTTGAAAAAAACGACCATGTACAGTAAGGCGTTTTTAGCTAAAAAAAAACGACCATTTATAGTAAGGCGTTTTTAGCTGAAAAAAACGACCATGTATACTAAGGCGTTTTTTTGCCCAAAAAAACGACCATGTATAGTCAGGCGTTTTTAGCCCGAAAAAACGACCATGTTACTCAGGCATTTTTACCCGAACAAAACGACCATGTATAGTAAGGTGTTTTTTGCCCAAAAAAACGACCATGTATAGTAAGGCGGTTTTAGTTTGAAAAAAACGACCATGTACAGTAAGGCGTTTTTAGCTGAAAAAAACGACCATGTATTGTCAGGCGTTGTCAGCTGAAAAAAACGACCCTGTATTGTAAGGCGTTTTTAACCGAAAAAAACGACCATGTATATAGTAAGGCGTTTTTAGTTTGAAAAAAACGACCATGTACAGTAAGGCGCTTTTAACCCAAAAAAAACGACCATGTATAGTAAGGCGTTTTTAGCTGAAAAAAACGACCATGTATAGTAAGGCGTTTTTAGCCCCCAAAAAACTACCATGTATTGTAAGGCTTTTTTCACAAAAACAAAAAAAAAAACAAAAGACCACGTATAGTAGGGTGTTTTGTGCCAAAAAAACGACCATGTATAGTAAAGTGTTTTTTTGCCCAAAAAAATACCATGTATAGTAAGGCCTTTTTATTCGAAAAAACGACCATATATAGTAAGGCATTTTTAACCCAAAAAAATGACCATGTATAGTAAGGCGTTTTTAGCCGAAAAAAACTTCCATGTGTAATAAGGCATTTTTAACCGAAAAATCAACCATTCATCGTTAGGCGTTTTTAGCCCCAAAAAACAACCGTGTATCGTAAGGCGTTTTCGACTTATGTCTTGAAATTTTATTTACTTTTTTTTCTGTTTTTAATAAATGCCTTTTTTATGTCTCGAATTTGTCCAAAAAAAATATATATATATTTATATTTTTCACTCATGAAGGGTTCGGTGAACGTGCAGTTGAACTGGTTGGGTTCAGTACCTCAAACAAGGTCAAGAACGACTGGTCTCGAGGAAAGTTCTAATGTCCTTCATCAGCCATTGCCAATTTTGATCTCTTGGTCAAAGACACCAGTTTATTTCTTTTACATCTGAGCGGCTCTCATGCTTGTGCGATGGTATTTACTATGAGCATATGTTCCCCGGAAGATTGTGTTTGCTTGTGTGGCAGGAAAGGAATTGTTTTTGATATTGTTATGGGTGGCAAATCATTTTCTGGTCACTGCCCCGTCTGAATCGTCCGCTCATTGCCATTGAATGTTTTGAACTGTGGAAATGCTCGGCCTGGCAGAGACCTTCAGAGGGATCCATGACAGAAGGGAAGGAAGGAAACGGAATTTGGGGAAACAGAGAGGACTGATGGCAACAGCGCGTGTAAAAAGGAGATGATTGTTTCTTTTTTTTTTCACCAGATCAGACGTTTAAGTACTTACTAACTAACTAGAAGATGAAGGGTTTTCTCTTCTTCAAGGTCTCATGTCCAGCCCCATTCGGACCTCACACAACAACAACAACAACAACAAAAACGTTCATCTTACTCTACTTGCTGGTCACGGGGGTGCCGCTCGTCTGCCTCCCTCTTCATTGAGCACCTCGGTCAATACACACAAAATGGAGCGTGGGATAAAAAGGGGCTAATTGCTCCAGGTGCAGCCAAGCAGAGAAGAGCTGGGAGGAAAGTGTATTGCCTCACGTTACATTCACATTAAAAAAAAAAAAAAAAAAAAAAAAAAAAAAACGCCAGAAGCTGCAATGACTGATGTGAATGCAGTTTCAGACGTGCTTATTATCATTCCGTTGCTGTGTGTTTTCAAGCGTGACTGTGTATTTCATTCTTCGGCGGGATGTTTACAAAGACGATCCAGATGCAATCCAGAATTAGCCTCTAATGACGTGTCACATGCCTCAACAGTTAAGAAACTTTGCGTGCGACTAGAGGAGTACATGAGCAAAATTCATATGACATCATGCAAACAATGAGCCTGTAAGGTCAAAAAAGATACCGTACACCTTATGCAGAAATGTCGTGTGCCTCGAGAAGTGAATGTTATTACTCCTGTTGAACAGTGGGTGGCAGGAATGAACTCTAAATGTAACTGGCACTCCTTGTGCGTGCGTGCGTGCGTGCGTGCGCGCCCGTGTGCGCGCGCGTGTGTGCGTGTGCGTGTTTTTGTGCGCGATATCAAACATGGAGCAGTATTTACTATTGTGCTGCATACACGAGGCCACCACCTAATTAGTAAATGAGAATGGTCCACTGTGTGCCTCACCTGTGTTTATTCCTGCTTGTCCTCATCAGAGGTCACAGATGAGTTGCAGCCAATATAATTTAAAAATACAAACATTTACAACATAAAGATGAGCAAAATGATTACTAAATAAATAAATAAATATAAAATAATACAATCATGTGAAACCCATTTTGAAATGCATGAGTAAACTTCCATTAAAAACGTTTACCAAATACAAAATATGTACTATATATATATATATACACATATATATTTTTTTTTATAAGGGGAGCAAGATGGCTTAGTCCGGCAAACCAAATCCTCTAAAAACGTCAAGGATACAGCTTCAAAAGAACGGAACACAGCTCAACACGGAACATGGACAGAGGGGTCAAATGTGGTCTTTGAAACAAGAGTCCGAGCTGTGGAAACCTTATCGATGAAAAACTGAAGGAATCTGTTGCACATTTCATGTGAAGAGTCTGAGCAAATAAACTGAGGGGGTTTCAGTACAGAGTTAATAGTTTTAACCCTGGAGAACCCAAGAACCCTTTTCATCTTTAGAAAATGATGAATTATCCATCAAATGACTGCTATATGTTCACTGAACACCAAAATATGTTTTTTCAAATATTCAATGCTTTAATCCTAATTTAGGATTGGGGCCAAATCTGACCCTTTGGGATTTAAGGGTAGCATTTGAGTAGCAGAATTTATAGGGGCCAAATTTGACCCCGTGGGTTCTCCAGGGTTAAATAGTACACGTGGGTTTTGACGGTTTGCATGAATAAGCTTTGATAAATGTTTGGCTTCCTGATAAAATCTGACACAAACACCATGAGAGCCTTTAACCCCGAGATCCGAACGCGGAACCTCAGAACAGTGAGGCATATGTTCTAAACCACTAACACTCCGTGCTTCAAAGGTCAGCATTTGCAGCATAGCATGTAATAATAAATGCTTGTTTACATTTAAGGGAGGAAACTATTAAACCAACAAAAGCTTTTTGAGCCTTGACAAACTGCTTGTGCTCAAAAGCCTCTAGGTGAAACACTACATTGCTTAAGAACACACACACACACACACACACACACACAGAGTTGTGCCTTATTTGTTTTTTTACTTAATATTTTGTTGTTGGTGGTGGTGGCAGTGTGTGTGTGTGTGTGTGTGTGTGCGTGTGTGTGTGTGTGCGCGCGTGTGTGTGTGTGTGCGCGTGTGTGTGTGTGCGTGTGTGTGTGTGTGCGCGCGCGCACGCATTGAGTCTGCGTGTTCGTGTGTGTCAAAGGTGTGACGAGATATTCATATTTAAAGCCTTTTCTAGCTTTCCTGGTAAGGCGAGACTTGTAGTTGTATGAGTGTCGCATATCCACAATGTCTGTGTACGAGAAGTTGCCAGGAGTTCCATCCACTGGACACTCAGACACCCCCGTAACTCAACACCCCCCCCCCATCCCCCAGCCTCCTACAAACCTCATTTAAAAAAAAAAAAAAAAAAAAAGAATAAGAAGGCTTATTTCATGGTTTTGTGTTCCTACAAAAAGATGGACCGAATTTTTCATTACATGGCAGCTGAATTGTTTTTTATTTTTCATCCACAATTTCCACAATGATCCACAATTTTGCAACAACGTGTTTATTTCGCCCACACCAAAATAATAATGATGTGAAAAAAAGTTGACATTTAAAACACGAAACTGTACACTTATATTAAAATTGGCCTCATCGTTCACCTGGACAACACAGTGCAGCGCAAGTTATAACTTATCCCAGTCCGGCACTGTCACAACAGTTGCTTCTCGAAGGCCTTTCATATGTAACACTATTAAGCATTGAAATCAGTCGATGCTTGTTTTTGGAAGAGTTAAATTTAGTAACTCCTCATGCACTTCAAATGAAAAAACAACAACAACAATTGCTGTTGTTTGTGGACTTTTGAGATTGGCTTTGTAATTGTGACTCTTGGCTGAAATCTTTCATGGCTAAGCAAACTAGTTTTGGGTTTGAATTCAGTGAACATATAATCTGCTTCCTATTTTACCTGAAAAGGGTTTTCTTGACCTGCTCCTGTTGAGAAGTCAGGACGCGCTCTTTCCTTCTCTCGGAGTTCAGTCTTGGAGTTGAAGACGCTAGTTAGCAATTGTCTGCCATGTAGTGGTGAACACTGTTATTACAATTTAGGAGGACTCAGCGATAATAATTTTTTTATTCTGATGTAGAATGAAGTTATGTTTGCCTTCATCATTGTAATTGAAATAGAGCAAGAGAAGGCTGAATAAATCATTCACCGCTGGCTCCGCCCCGACAATGTACATTGCAGTATAGTGGAGTAGAAAGTGGAGCCCTTGAGGCTTTTTTTTCATCACCATGACCAGTTGAGAACAGGTTTGGTGACTTGCTCTGTTGTTGTGCGAATCAACACTATTGTGCCAGCACGTGCTCGTTTTATAAAGAAAGACCCAGTGGCTGCGCATGTGACATACAAGATCAGTTTTGAATGTCTTTATTTTTGATTTGGTAATTAAAAAAAAAAAAAAAAATCAAGATACATGTGTAACAAAGCACCTGAAGTTGGAGCAAACTGTATAGTGTTGTTTAATGGCCACAAGAGAACATAATAAATATAAATATAAAAAAACAAAACAAAACAAAACAAAACAGTGTGGTAATTGACGTTGAAACCAGCCAAGCATTTACCAGTACAGTGTATGTATATAAATATAGAATTTTGAATAAATAACATACACTCAACAAGCACATAAATCAAACAAGCGTGTGATTAAAAAGCAGGAAAAAATGCCATGTTTGACATGTCAGTTGGGTACAGCAGAGATCCTCAAACTGGGGTCCACAAAATAATTTACAATGTATTGATTTTTTTTT